AGAGGTGTTACAAGAGAGTAACAAACAAAAAAGAAGTAGGGAAGATAAGGACGATAGATGTTTCATAGGAAAGAAGAAGCAAACCACACCAACCACCCACAAAGTTTGTTTGTGTAAAGAGCAGCACATAGAAACAATAATAGCCATTTAGTTCTTGGAAAAAATAAGATAGACAGACAGAAACAACAGAGGGAAAGGAAAGAAGTAGGACCTACAATGGCACCTTCCAACCACACTCACAGATGAAAAAAAAGCAAGACAAAAATACAGAAAAAGAAACAAAGGGAAAGACAAGAAATATGAGCTACCGGTAGCATCCTCAAATCACCCGCTCCGACACTGTCAGTGTCAACTAAACCTCCATAAAACATGTCTCGTTTCAGAATGTCAAATAGTTGTAAACGGCGAACCTGTAGAATAACGACATGTTTAGCCACCAACAAGGCAGGATAGCTGTGAAACTGAAAAATGGAGCTGAGCATAATGACCCGAGCAATGCTAAAACGAGAGGGGCGACGACAACAACAGTGTTTAGTTTTAGGAGTTTTACGGAACTTGCAACATAATAAGGTCATGATAATATAAGTCACGAAGATAATAGGTGTTACAAGAAAGTAAAAAACACCAAAAAAAAGGAGGTGAGATAAGGACGATAGATGTCTGATAGGTACGAAGGGGAAGACCACACAAGAACACCTGCAAACCACCCGCCAAAAACAACAGCAATAACAACTTAAAAACAAACCAAAAAAGCAAAGCAACTTCAGAAAAACTACAGCACGCAAGCAACAACGTTAGCAAAAAACAAAAAAACAACCAAAACCACAATGTCATCAACACACGACGCCAAACTTTCACCATCGTTTAATCTATCTCGAGTTATATATAGAATCTAGCTCTCTTATCTAAGTCATGAATCACACCGAGCTGTCTCAGTGGCCTACTTCTTCCAGTGTTCACGAGGGCCGGCAACAGAAGTTGACGGGCTCTCAGGCCGTTACCCGTAAGACTATGTATGTTGGCCTGTTTGCGGATACCTTGATCAGTTTAACGCCGTACCCACATTGATCTCTGTCAAAGTTTGAAAAAGGGGATAAGGGGAGGGTAACTAAAGTAGTAGATACCAAATAACACAATTTACCACATTTACAAAACGGGACACTTCGAATCTTCAACCCAACTGGTAAAGGACACACCTTCGCAGAACAGAAATCCTTTAGAATCGAATTCTCAAGTTTTTGCGTCTAAGATTAAGAGCCAGTGCATTGCCCCAAAACGTCGGTTGCAGTGAGGGAGGGAGGGGGGTCAAAAAGGAGCCCATTGACAAACAAGCGGTCAGAATTTTGAAAGGAGACAGACAGACAGACAGAGAGAGAGAGAGAGAGAGAGAGGGAGAGAGAGAGAGAG